TGTCAATGGAGCGGGTCAAAGTCCCTCCTCCCCTAGCCCCCGTATTCCCCAGAGGACTCAGCCCAGGGACTCAAACCCTGGCTGATCCCTGAACCCCAGGCCCCTTCAGATCGTGCCAGGTGGGATCATTGCCCAGATGCCCCCAGGCTCTCTTCTCCTCTTAAAGCGCTGCGGGGGATGGGGAGGAGCGAGGGTGGGTAACAGCTTGGTCCCTTCCTCTCAGTGGGCCCCACAGACTCCCCCGGGGGCTGGGGCTTTGACTGAATGCCTTCGTAGCTAAGACAACAGGCCTCTGTCCAGGGAATGCCTGACTGGGCTGGGGGAGGAGGCTGGTGGCCACCTGGTCCTGGAGCTGGGGGAGGGTGGGATTAGGAAGGGAAGAGGGAGAGGAGCTGGTGAGGAAGAGGTTATTGCCCCCAGTTCCCTGTTCAACTGAGGAGGAAACTGAGGAACAGAGGACAGAGACCTCTCCATCTTCCCCATTTCCTCTCAGCAACAACCTGTCCCTTCCCCCGTGGCCGATGTTGGGGGTGGCGGAATGTGGACAAGGCTGAACTTTCGGTTTGGGGAAGGGGCCTCCTGGCTTCAAACAAAAGAGAGGCCAATAGACAAACCTTCCTGAGCTCCTGAAGAGGGGCAGGAAACCCGTGAGGACCCCTGCAGGAAGTTCCAGTCCTCCCAACCTCCTGCTGGCTTAACTCTTCAAATACCTGCTTCACCAGCTACAGGGCCCCAGACCCCCACTGTCCCTTTCTAGTTCTTGTCTCTCAGCTACACTCACCTACCCCTTGCTAGTGACTTTCCCCCCATACACACATTCTAGCTCTTCAGCCACCCATAGGCAGGGAGACTCCCCTTTTTGTTCAAGAGGCTAGGTCTCAGTCCAAAATCCAAATGTTGCTTTTTCCCTTTTCAAAGGATGGTAAGAGTGACTCTCTCCATCAAATACAGGTCCTTCTGTGATATCCTCCCTGTATCTGAGAGACTGAAACCATAAGCCCCTGGGCAGGAATGGGGATCCTAGTTGTTCAGGCTGCCAGGTTTCCCCAACACATTCACATTATTTGTCCTTCATCAGCACTCCCTCTACCCCCACGATCACCCTCACCCCCACCCCTAGCAGCATAGTTGGCCGTGCTCACCTGTATCAGGGGCCTGGTTCTCCGTTAATGCCTGTGGCTTGGGTAAACCAGGGCCAGGAAAAGTGTGGGGATGCTCTCTTCCCCCTGACCCTACTCCTGAGCCTTTCACTGTTCTCAGGGACCCAGAAGCAATTTCTTTCTGCTTTTCCACATCATCCAGAACTCCTCTGTTTTGTGTCTATTGTTACTCTTCACTCTTCCTGACGTCTAGGATGCACTGGCTCTGGCTGCCTCCTGCCTCTCTCGTGCTTGGTCCCCACTGCCTGGTGTTCCTACTAAAGTCCCATCCCCTCCCTTTCCTCATTTCCTGCTGCCCCTCCAAGAGGAAAAGACCTATGACCAGAGGCGGGTGGGTGGGCAGGAAGAGGCCAGAATCTTTCCCAGCTTCCCTCCCGCATCTCCAGTCCATGCTTTTCTTTAGGGGCCTACCTTGGGTTGGGTCCCCTCCTCCCCTTCCATAAACACCCTTGGCCTCTGGGAGCCTTAAAAGTCCAAGCAGGGATTGGGGGGTGGTCTTTCCCCACAAGGACTTCAGCGGGGGGGGGGGGGATAATCTGGGCAGAGGGTACTGGGGCAGGAAGTGGACAGGAGTGGGAAGATGTGGAAGAAGCTGCTTCAGACACGTCCATCTCCCCTCTGGCCGTTTGACCATGAGAAGGACCTGAGTCAAAAGGGAAAATGAGTAAGAAGCTTGTTCAGGCATTGAGCTCAATCACCAAGCCCATGCTAGGGGCAGTGCCAGGCTAGTGGCTCAGGCCACTGAAGGAGCTGAGGTGGGAGGGAGCAGAGCTAGGCTGGGCACTGAGGAAGAAAGCTTTATCTGTGCATGGAGTGAGAGTTGGGGGTGGGGGGTGTGGAGAGAAAAGGCAGGAAGGTGGGGGGGGTGGAGGGGAAGAGAAGGAACTTCCAGGAGCTGAGTCAGGTTTTTTCCACTGAGAGCAGAGGAGAAATTCCACCCAAAGCCTTCAGAGCCAAAAATACGTATATACATATTCTCATATATGCACGTGTGTATGCACGTATTCCTTTGTGCATGTGTGTAGTGGCAAGACAACAACATTTGAAGCCAATTTGGGATTGAATCCTGGCACTGCCGACTATTTGTGTGAATTTTGGCAAGTCCCAACGTCTTTGGGTCTCAAGAATCCTCATCTGTAAAAGAGGGGAATGGGACTAGATGATTCCTTACAATCCTAAATTCCTTGGAGTTTATGCATGTATGTATGTTCGCAGGATACTGCAGCGCTGTGCATATTATCTGCATCTGTGAGTGTCTGGGCAGGGGGTGGGATGGGTGAGCAAAATTGCCTTTTCCCTCATCCAGCAGCCTGTTCTATCCCCCAATTACTGCTCCCCTCTCTGCTCTTGGAGGGGTGTACAGCAGCAGGGGGCATCGAGAGGCCAGCTCTGTTTGAGGAAGATTTACCTAAGGTGTCCCTGGTCAATTAGGTCTCCACTCGATGGAGACAAAGGCTAGCTAGCCGACAAACGTTAGGGAGTTGGGGAAAGGCTTTTTGCCTTGAGGCCACTCTTGTGTTCATCCAAGAACGAGGTGTTTGTTGGTGGCTAATGATTAATACTTGATTTCTCCCCCCTACTTTATGATCCAGGGAGCTCCTCTTCTTTCTCAGACTCAGGATACCTGGGGATATCTAATACTTGGCTCCCTTGACATTCTTCCGATAAAAGAAAGCGGTCTGGTTTTTGTTTTTTCATCTGTACAATGAAGGATTTGGACTAGGAGATCTCTAAGGTCCTTTCCTTTTAAATCCTAAAATCCTCTGAGGCTACTATGTCCCTGAAACTCCTTCCCTGTGCTATGTGCAGGATTTGAGGGCATGTGTGGGACGGAGAGAAACTGAAACAGTAAGAGATGAACCAGGGGCTTCTAAAATCCTCAACTATCTGGTCAAAAAGAGCCCCCGGGGAATGGGAGGAAGGAGAAAGAGAGAAAAGCCGAGCAGAGCCCTAGCCCCTGGTCAGGGTAGGGAGGCTCCCTCGGAGGGTTGAAGGAGGAAGGAAGTGAGCTCAGGCCACTGGGAACTAGGGAAGTGTCGGCTTCGCCCCTCATTGTTCCCAGCTCTGGGGATCAGGTGAACCAAACCCATCCCAGGGCAGAGAGTTCCTGCTCAACCTTAGGGAGGGGTAGACGCTGGCATGATGATTCTGGCAGTAACCTGGATGAGGGCTTGGTGGGAGGCGCAGGAGTCAGGGTTGGAGATGGTATCTGCCCCCTTAATCTTTTATCACCTAGAATTTCCCTCTAAGCCTGGTATGAGGTGCCGCGCCCCAAATCCTGAGAGCTCTCAGCTTGGAGGCAGGGTATCTGGATTCCTGAGAACCCTCGAGTACCACTGCTCTAATTAGGGGCAGACACACAGAAAGACAAAGGGAAGCTACATGGACGTTGTGAGTCTCCACAACCAGAATCAGACATGGTCTCCACCACACAAAGACTTCCCCAACACCAGACTATCAGAACACTTTCCTTGCCCCTGCCAAACTCACTGACATGACACCCTTCCCCACTCCACCTCCCCCCAAATCTGCAGACATAGCTGTGCCCAATGCCACCTGGAGACAGGCAGATTACACGATGGCTTTCTTCTTAGATAAAGGGAAAGAGCAGCTTGTGCAGAACTCTCCAGTCTAGGATGAAGCTCAGAGGGGAGTCAGGGTTGGGAAAGAACTGAGTTGCTAGGCAGGGTCCTAGAGAAAAAAGAAACTTCAATTCCTAGCTGAAGGAGTGAAAATTGGAGGGCAGTGATGTATCTGGCCAAGCTCCCCTCTCCAAAACCTAACCAGCCCCTAACAAACTGGGGGTGGGGGTGGGCAGCAAAGTGGTGCTGCTGCCCCCATCCTCCTCAGCTGAAAAAGGTAAATGGCTTCTCTGTGGTGGGAGAAGAGCTCTCCCAGTTACTGTGTTCTGTTCTGTCTAGCGTACCAAATGTGGGATGCAGAGCACAAGACATCAGATAAAATCAGCCAGGAAAATCCTGTTTTCACCCATAGATAATTATGAAAAAGTATTTCCCTGGGAAAAAAAATTAAAGTTTTTAATTTATAAATGTCCATTTCTGAGAGGAACTGGAAACATACACCAAGCCTACTTTTCATGAATTAGAAGATTCAAAGGTCAGTGTCTGCCGACCTGTCTGAGGCTCAGAGAAGAGTATGCCTATGGCCACACAGCTTATTTCTTAGGCAGGATGTGAACCGGCTCTTTCTTCTGAATTCGAAGTCTAGCGCTCTTCCTAATGCAGTATGGCCTCTTAACTAGAGGCTTATTTATGAATGGCAAATCAGTTCTAACTTTTCCTAATCATTTCATTTCATAAAGTTAGAAAATGGATCTCAGAGCACCATCTTCCAAGAAAGGGCCCGGCCCCCATCCTTAAAACATCCTCCTGGCCAGACAGAGAGGAAGATCTTCTGGCCGTGTAAATACTGCCCTCTAGTGCCAGAAAGCCGGCGGAGCAGCGGGCACAACAGCTCCTCCATTTGGCTAAGGGTGGGAGCAGGAAACAGTGACAGACCGTCCTCAACTTTCTGGAGAGCTTTCAGGAGCCCATGGCTCAATTCCCAAGGCACAACTGGAGCTGCCTCTTCAGAGACAGGAAAAGTGTTACAGGCCAGTTCAGGCCACTGAGGCTACCTTCTTCTGACTCTCCTTTGGCCATTTTTCCTCCACTTTTTTTTTTTGCAACCTCTTATTTCATTTTCAAAGTCTTTTTTTTTTTTCGGTCAAGGCAACTGGGGTTAAGTGACTTGTCCTTTGGCCACTTCTGACCATCCTCCCATGTCCTCTGCCCCAGCGTAGTCTAAAAGGCTCCCATTTCCAATAAACTGCTCACTCAATGACATCAATCTACAAATAATTTTATTTAAATTCAACAAAAGGGCACACCAGCCTGGGCTGGGGGAGAGAGCAACCAGCCCTTTCCCCTCTATTATCATCTCTGCCCCAGACCATCTTTCTGTCACATTCACACAAAAAGCACAGTTTGCACAGAAAAGAATTTTTAAAAAAGTAATCCTAAAAAGTAAACAGATCGAATTTCTGCTTCAACAATATCATGGACATAGATATTTACAAACCTTCACATTGTAAATCTCCCTTCCGTGGTCTCCTTATCCAACCCCTGCCAGACAGACCCTGGAGAGCAGAAGGTTGGGCCCAGTTGCCCATGCCTACTAGTAGGAGGTGAGCAGCTTGGGGGAGGGATTGGGCCAACACAGTACCAAGGTGAGAGGGGCCAGGATACTAAAGAGATATGGGTAAGTTTGCCAGGTGGGCAGAACTGCCTATCATAACAGGGTGGGGATTGATTGGGAATGTGCTCTCCAGAGCTGATGGGGACAGGCCTGAAGGACACATCAAGTGTAGTGTGCGGAAACTCCCCCTTTTTCTCCCAAGAAAGGGTTGGTGTAAGAAACAGGTTTCTCAGGCAGTCTTAGCAGGGGTACTGAGCAAGAGCCCTCTCCCCCATATCTTTAGGGTTTATGCTTTTCTCCCAATTCTAGGATTCCCATGTAGAAGATCCACTGCCCCTTCAGTTTCCAACCATACCCTCAGGGACCAGGTGTATATGTGTATAGGCGGGTGAGGTTCGGGGAGGATCACAGTGTAGGAAGTGAAACCCACCCCAGATAGGGGATCTTCTAATCCTCTTCAGTTCCAGCAGGCTGAGCTAATTAGTGGGCTGGGAGTGAGAAGGGGAGTGGGGCAGTGGATCAAGGGTGGTTGTGAGATTCATTGAGACCAGCCTCCCTCGGGGGTGGTAGGAATCGAGGTAGCAAACGGCTGAAATGCTCAGAAATGTGAGGGAAAGGAGAAAGGAGGGTACTGCTTGTGCATAGCAAAGCTCACTATGGCCAGCCCCACAGCCCCTGGGGACACAAGGGGAAGGGCCAGGAAAAGAGGAGACCCTGCTTGTAAAGTGCTGTGTCCCCTTGTCTCCCTGACAGTGACCAAGCCCCAGGCCTCTCCTGTCCCTTCTCCCAGGCTGGGCAGAGGGAGAGGTACATGCTACAAGGAAACAGGAGGGGGAGGGGTATTGGGAGGTGGTTGAGGTCAGAAGGAAGGAAATTGTACCCTGAAATTCCTGGCCTGAGCATTCACCCAGCTTTTATTTCCTGACACTCCTCTCGATATTGGAGGGTGAGTTGGGGCTTTGGGTTCAGGAAGAGAAACTGAGTATCCTACCCCCTTCCTTTACCCAGGCACTCAGATCCTGATGAAAATACCTACTCCAGTGAACCAAGCCAACTATCCTTTATCCCCAGACCCTCCCTCAAACTGAATCACCCAGTACTGTGGAAGAAACAGAACTGGGCACCCAGCTTCCCTACCCGTTGACTTGTAGATGAAAAAATATGGCCCATTAGGGGGCCCACGTCAGGTGGAATTCATTCTGGGGCGGCTGCTTTAACCCAGACACCTCTCATCAGGACCCACACTTTGAGCTTGTGGACTCAGCAGCTTGGGATGCCCTGCCAAGGAAGTGGGGAGTTTTCCCCACCCAAGGCCTCTTTCTGGCCCTGCTGCCCCTCCTCCTACCCAGATGTCCATACCCACCACCCCACAGACTTGGGGTGTGGGCAGGAAGGGGCTGCAGGGCTCACATCTCACAGATGATCACTGGGAAATCCACGTGGAGGCGAGGGTGGTCTAGCCTCACGATACCCTGAAAATGAAATTGATACTGGTTAGGCCCTGCCTCATTCTAGCTCTTCCAGGAAGCCTTCCTTTTAAACTGCTCCAGGTCCCACGATTCTCTCCTTAAGCCTCTTGCCAGTCTTGCCTCCCCACACTCCTCTGGAAGCAGTGTAACATCGTGCATGAAATGCTGAACGTGGAGTCAGAAAGGCCTGGGTGCAAAGCCCACCTTTAATATTTAGTGGCTATGAAACTAATCACGGCCCAGTCATTTAACCTCTTACCCTCAGTTTTCCTCATCTGTAAAATGAGGATAAATGCCACCCACCTCACAGGACTATTATAAAGCTAAAAGGAGAGGATATACATAAAGCACTTTGGTAAACTTTAAAACTCCACATAAATGTCAGTTATTGCAACTGATTTCTCTTTCATCTAATCCCAAAGCACTTTAAACTCCTTTAAAACACTTTTTAATACTCTAATTTAGGATATATATATATATATATATATGCTCAATGATCTTTGTCATTCCTCCAGGGTCTAGCATAGCTCACTGCCCATAGAAGGCTCTTCATAAATAAATGTGAAGTGAATGACAAACCCAGCCTAACATTTGAGTCTAGGCTGTCCTGTTGTTTCCAGGCCTCCCCAAACAGACTGTGAGCCTGGCTTTTCCTGTCCCCACAATGTCTCAGTCCATAAGGGCAGTGTGACTAATGGAGTTAATGTGAGGGGTACATGGACCCTATAATCTTTCACCAAGCTCCACAGCCAGCTTCACAGCAGCCTCTGCTAAGAAAGAGAGGGAGCACAAGGGCAAGTGGAGGCCATTTCAGTGTAACCCATCCTTGAAGGCACTGTTATTTCCAGGCTGGCAGCAGAAAAAGCAGGCCTCATAGAAGTAATGATCAGAGCAGAAATTGGTCCAGGAGAATGTGGTTCTACTGAGCCTTCATTTGTTTGGGAGCATAATCCCCCCATCTGACTTTATGAGGACAAAATGGGATGAGAGGGGAGGCTGGGGAGGGGCCCTGTATCTCCTGCTCTCCCTCACCTGAGGGATCAGGTTCTTCTGTACCCGCCTCAGCTTGGCACGCTTTCGCCCATTCTTGGTGACAATTGTTTCCTCATAGAACTCGTGGGCCAGGTCACCATCTTCATCATAATACATGGAACTGTAGGGCAGAGGACAAAGTGCCATCAGGACCACTGGCTCCACTGACTGAATCAAGGCTCAGGGAGCATCACTTATCCAACATTTCCCCCAAAATAAGTACAAAATTTGTCCATAGTTGTTTGCTTGCTCCTTTAGATTGTGAGCTCCTTGAAGGGAGGGACTGTCTTTTGCCTCTTTTTTTATCCCCAGCACTTAGCACAGTGCCTGGCATGTAGCAGGAGCTTAATAAATGTTTATTGTCTGACCCAAAGCACTGCCTAGAGAGTTTCCCAAACAACCACCAAGGTCCAAGGTCACAGAGCTAAAAAGTCCTCATGACATAAGGGACAGCCTTTGGTAGAGTATGAGGCAGAGAGACAGGCTAGCAGGCCTGGAGACGGACCCTTTCTCTGAAGCCTCAGGGACCCGATTGGGGTGGAAATAGAGCAAAGAAGCAGGGGATACTCAGACACTGGGAGGAGCTAAAAGGTGAACTGTCACAATGCTTGATGCCTGCTACTCTCAGAGCTCTCTGATCTGTGAGGATCCAATGCTATGGTTATCACCAGAGGGAACCCATTAAAACACAGGGCCTCTGTAGTAAAGTTCCATGGCCAGGCCCTGGACTTCATAGCCTGGTGGGCTCTGAGAAAAAGCTGCTGCCAGAGGTCTAGGCTTGCTTGTGTTTTGCCTCAGTAGGAACAACTGGTATAGCCAAAGTCTTGATGCCCGCTCTAAGATGGCAGGAAGCCCACACTAACTTCAGGCAAAAGAATTTGTTGGCAGACATAAGAGGTCTCAGGGCCGTGGCATTTCCTATCCCATCCTTAAGCTAGATGCTAATGAAAATGGCTCCAGGCCTGGGTTTCAATGCAGCAAGTCTCCACCCACACAAACTTTCCAGGTCGGGCCTAAATGGCATTCAGAAAATCTGATAACTAACATTACTGCTTGACTCCCAAATATTCTGCCAAATAGGACCCAAGTTATAGGCTTTTCATCAACCCTAGAGCTGAGGCTCTCTGAGTGACTAGTCTTTTGCTCCAGTCACACAAAGAAAATAGGGGATCCAATCCTACTTACCAGGGTCTTGGAGTCACATGACTCCCGAAAATTCCTAACTAGCTTCCTCTGAAGGAGTTAAGCTAGAATTCTCTTATTACCTTCAGAAAACTGGGCCTTGGGGAGATAAGAGGTAGGTATCTTCATTACTTCCCCAAGTCACTGACACAACCCTAACAGCTTTGGGGTGAACTGGATTGGGGGTGGGGGAAAGCTAGGTGGCACAGTGGATAGAGTGCTGGGCCTGGAGTCAGGAAGATTCACCTTCATGAGTTCAAATCTGGCCTCAGACACTTACCAGCTGCGTGACCCTGGGCAAGTTATTTACCCGTTTGCCTTAGTTCCTCATCTGTAAAATGGGCTAGAGAAGGAAATGGCAAATCACTTCAGTAGCTTTGCCAAGAAAATCCCAAATGAGGTTACAAAGAGTCAGACATGACTGAAACATCTAAACAGCAACAAATATCCTCCATTCTCATCTCCTTGGCTTCATCTTTGAAAGCAGGCTCATCTTCTTACTACGGCCGAATCTTATACTTGTATCTTTGTATTGTAACTCCATCTTATTCTGGGTCTACGGAGCTAGTCCCTATCTTTTGTCTCTTTCTTTACCATCTATAAACACACCCAGGATTTTCCTGTTCTTTAAAAAAATTCACATCTGATTCTGCCCACCTCAGGCAACTTGCTGACCCTCACACGTTTGGATGTTCTACCCCTACATCCTGGATTAGTTTTCTTGACTTCCTTCAAGACTCACCTCAAATCCCACCTATTTCAGGCAGCTTTTCACAGTCCTCCTAGCTGCTAAAGGCCTTCCCTTCTCTTTTAATTCTTTCTTCCTTTCCTATCCATCACTCAAATGAAACTTTCTCCAAGGTTATAAACTAACGCAACTGTCAAATCCCATGGCCTTTTTTCAGTGTTCACTGTCCTTAACTTCTGTGTAGTTTTTGATACTGCTGACCGCCTCTTCCTTGATACTCTCTCCTTTGGCTATTACACTACTCTCTTCTGGTTCTATCTGTCTGATTTCTTTCCTTTGCTGGATCATTATCCAAACACACATGAATACTGTATCTCTTTCAATGTATGCGTATGTATCCCATCTCTCAATTCAAAAACATTTATTAAGCACCTACTATGTCAAATGCACAGTGTAAGGCACTAGATGTATAAAAACAAAAGAGTTGTAGTCTTAGAGGAACTTAGGGAGACAGGAGGGGAGGAGGGAAGACAGACATACAACATACACACAGAAAAATAAATTACAAAGTCAACATAAGAAGTGATCACCAACAACTTTGGGAAAAGATGGGGAGGAATCAGGAAAGGCTTCTTGTAGGAAGTGGCACCTGAGCTGTGTCTTGAAGAAAGTTAGGCATTCCAAGAGGCAAAAGCAATGAGAACACACACTGCAAACAAGGAAAACCATTTGGACAAAAGCATGGAGGTTGGAGATGGAAATGCTGTGGAAAGGGAAAAGCCAGCAGGCCAGTTTGGCTGGGATGCAGAGGAAGTTACGAGGAGTTACATGACATGAGTGGAAAAGTAGGAGAAAGACAGATTATGGAAGACCTTAAAAGCCAGGCTGAGGAATCTGAATTTCACCATAGAGGTAACAGGGAGCCATGGAAGATTTTTTTTTTGGGGGTGGTGTGGGGAGAGACCAGTATGGAATATGAACTGGAGAGAAGAGGATGGAAGCAGGAAAACCAATCAGGAGGTTTTTTAAATAGTCAAAGACACAAGGGTGGCCACATATGCCCTTAATAAAAGGATCTGTTCTATAAAACTTGGACTCAGTCAAAAGGCCAAATCCAAGGACCCAGAGACGGCCACACGTGTGTGTGGCTGCAGGTTTCCCACCCCTGGTCTAGGACAAGAGAAGATGAAGGCCTGAACTTTGTGACTGTAGAGACAGGGATGGATGCAATACAGGTTGATGAGGTAGAATACTGAAGACTTGACAACTGATGAAGGTTCAAGAGGGGAGAAAGGTGAAGGAAAAATAGTGAAAAATATGGAAAGTTGTGGATCACAGTGACTGGAAGGATGGTGGTGTTTTTAAGAAAAATTAAGAGAATATTCAAAGGAGTTAAGGGGGAGGAGGGGAATCTTCAGTCCTGCAAACCAACTGTCCCCTAGACTTCTCTACCTCAATGACTCACCAGTATCTCATATTCAACACAGCTAAAACAGAAATCATTATCCACCTTCCTAATCCCATCATACCCCCTACAAACTCACCTCTTCCTGCTGAGGACACTACCATCTTTCAAATCGCTCAGGTTTGCAAGCTCAGTCATCTTTTGCTTTTTCCTCTGCCTCATTCTACCTATCCAATCATTTGTAAAGCTTTGTCTATTTTACTCTGCCACACCTTTTCACCAACCCATTCTTTCTATCCAAAGGGATATTATCTTTGTTTTGGCTTTTGCTAGCCTCGCCTAGACCAGTGGTCTCCAAAGTGGAAGGTTGAACCAGGAGAAGAATTTATGCACTAACAACACCATAAATGCATAAAACTTTGAAAGACTTAAGAACTCTGATTAATGCAATGATCAACCATGTTTCCAAAGGACTGTTGATGCAGAATGTTACTTCCTGACTGAAAGGTGATGGGACTCAAGATACAGAAGGAAAATTACTTTTTTCTGGACATGACCAATATGGCTATTTGCACTGCTTTCACTATTTGTCACAAAGATTTTGTTTTTCCTTTAGTTTTTTCCCCAATGGGAGGTAAGGGAGAGAAAAATAAATGATGCTAATTAGAAAAACAAACAAACAAGCAAAAAACAAAGTAGGAGGTCCTCAAACCACCAAGATGCTGTGGCACTATCCTAATATCCTACCTTCCCCACTACAGCCAATTGTAGGACTTTGAACCACACTATCATTTCATTCATAGAGACTCAACATTTCCCAACTCTGCCCCTCTCTACTACTGGTCTTCCATAGTTACACAAGCTCCTAATTGCTTTCTTTCTACGAGGGAATGAACTTTTAAGGGAGGTTATAATATTGCTTAGATCCCAGCACCTGCACCAGCAGTTTCAAAGTGCCAAACCTTAGCACACTCATACCCTACTCTCTAGATCACTTCAAGGCTATGGCAGGTACCCCTAAGCTGGCTCCCTGCTCTACAGTATTGGCCGGTAGGTAAGAGCCTATTACGTTATTCCCTCTCCTATGTCAAATTTCCCTATTTTTGTCCAAGGCAGTGGTGTCAAACTCAAATAGGAATGGATCCCTGCAGGCCAAAGATGAACTCAGAACACTACTATGTTGTACTGTATTTTTATTTTGTTAAACATTTCTCAATTAAATTTTAATCTGGTACTGTTTGCATTTCAGAGTTTGCTAGCTGCTCTCAGTGAGTTTTGACACCTCTGCTCTAAGGTATCGCCATCCTTTAGGCCTCTCAGATTCTCAATTTTCTTATTATCTTTGATTCCTCAATCAACTAAAACTGTTCTCTTCAAAGTTGCCAAAGACCTCTTAACTGGCAAATCGAATGGCCTTTTCTCAATCTCCATCCTTCTTCACCTCTCTGCAGTATTTAACACCACTGACCATTCTCTCTTTCTGGATATTATCTCCTCTCTGGGGAGTAGTGAAAATGATTGCTCTTGGTTCTCTTCCTAGTCTGACTGCTCCTCAGTTATGCCCTCTGTGGGCATCCCCTAACTCGTCTCCCTCTACATTCAATTGGTGATCTCCAGGCCTACTCGTTCCTGAACTGCATTACCACATCACTAACTACTTAGTGAGAATGGGAAGTCCCACAAAGTCCCCCTCAGATGCAACATGTCCAAGACAGGCCTTATCTTTCTCCCCAAACCCTCTTTTCTTTTGCTGTTTAGGGCACCACCATTTTTCTAGTCATCCAGGTCTGGAAACTCTTGTCATACTCAACTTCTCAGTCTTATTCACACCACACACTACACATACAACAGTTGCCAAATCTTGTGATTTCTACCTACATCTCTCACCCATCCCCTTCTCTCTATTTTCACAGCCCACTAGTTCAGGCTTTCATTACCTCATCTCTGGACTATTTCAACAGCTTCCTAATTGGTCTTAAGTCTCTCCCTTCTCCAATCCATTCTCAACAGAGCTGTCAAAGTGATTTTCCTACCTTATAAGTCAGACCATGTCATTCTCCTACTCGAACACTAAGATCTCTATGATCAAATACTATGTCATCTTCCTCTCACTATATTAACTTCAATTTTTGTGAAAGGAATGTGCATAATTATTAGCTCAGTGTATGTATATGTGCATACACACATATAGGCATATAATTAATAAATTACATATATGGGGGAGTGTCTCAAAAATTTTATTAACAGGGAGCAGTTTGGAAACTACCGGCCTAGACTACTGCAACGGCTTCCTTAATGTTCTCCCTGCTTCTGGCCTCTCCCTACCTCCAATTCTTTCTACATACTGCTGCCAAATTAATATTCCTGAAATAGGCTTGACTATGTCACCACCTTGCTCAAAAATCTTCAGTGGCTCTGTAATGACTTTAGGTTAAGTACAATCTCTCTTTTAAAGCCTTCCACAACTTGGGCTCCCTTCAGCCTTTGTAAATATTTCATATTGCTCTTCTTCCGTTATTCCCTGTTTAAGCCAACCTTACCACATATCTTCCAGCTCCTTGCTTTGCACAGAAAGGAAAACGGAATCCCTGAGAGAAAGTAACTTGCCCAAGGTCAAACACGTGGTGGCTGACAGAGCCGGAATTCAAACTCGGGTCGGACTCCAACTCCAGTACTCTGACCAGCCCCATTCGATGCCCCTCTTAATATTGCCCCCGGGAAGCCCCAGCCAGCTGACTAACGACAGCCGGAGGCACACCACCTTTTTCAGGACCTCCAACCAAGCAAGCTCTTCCTCCTACCCAAGTCGGGAAACCCACGGAAATAACAGTAGCCGAGACTGAAGCCAAAGAGGACGCGGCATTCAGGGCCCGGTGGGCATTTCTTCCAGCAGACGGGCGCAAAGGCCGGCTGATTCTTCCTCTCCCAACCCTTCGGCCAAGACGTGGAAACCAAACCGTCTCTCCGAGGCCGGACAGCTGCCCTCAGCGTGTGCACGCCACAGGCTGCTGCCTTCAGCCTCCTCGGGGAAGGACCTGCTCACCCGCCTACCCTCCGAGGCCCGTCAGCCCGCTGCAGGGAAGCTCGGAGGCCGCCTCCCCCCACGCCCTTTCCCGCGACGGGTGAACACGAAGGGCGGCGCGGGGCGGAAGCCCCGAGCCCGGGCCAGGGCGTGCTGGGCACGGGCCGCGTCGGTGAGCTCGGGGCTGCCTCCCGGGCCCGCGGCCGCAGCCGGCGCCGAGAAGGGCCACAGCCCCCGGCCCTTGGAACCGCTGGTGCCCATGTTAGGGCCCGCGGAGCATCGCGGGCCGCTCGCGCCTCACAGCACCCTCCAACAGCCGGCCCTGCTCCCGCTGACGGACGGATGCCGACTCCCTCGGACCGAGCGGAAGTAACTTCACTTCCTGCACCGCCTCCAACGGCTTCCGCTCCTCCCTCCACGTTCGTCCATTGGTAGTCGGAGCTGTCAGGCCGAGAGTCGGTGCCAATGGCGACCCTCGGAGGTTAAGAATCCCGGCGTGCACTGCGACTGCAAGCCTAAGTGTTTCCGAAAGACTTCAAATCCCAGTATGCCACGCTCCCTCGCGAGCCCAAAGCGAACTGCAAGTCCCAGCATACCCAGCCCTGGCACCGCTGTGACTTCAAGCTCACTTGCCTGGTAGCTGTCAGAACAATCTTGGAGGCTTGTTTGCATTTGGGGGCACTACAGTTCAAAACCTACAAGGTGGGGGTGCGTGTAGACGAGTAAGGTGGCCAGGTTGGGAGGACCCTGGAAACCACCCCACCTCTTTAATAAACTTGATGGGGTATGGGCCCAAACCGAGACGCTTGCCCCTCACCCCAAAAAGAATTTGGGTCCCATTTGTCTACGAATTCTCCTTGAACTCTCCCACTTGGTCAAAAAAGTCTCTAGCAGTCGACTGAGGCTATAGTCCTATCGACTGGTCTTTCCTTATTGCCCATGCCCAGTTTCCCAATTCTCTGTTATCCTTAATCTAGCCCAGCCCTTTGTTGTCTGTTACCTCTCAATGCCCCGGGCTACTTCCACCCTTGATCCTATCTAGGATCCAGAATGATCCTATCATTTTTGACCTCCTGGTAGATTCCATCAAGATCCTCTCTAGACCCCCACCAGCCTACTGGCTTGACTCCCGTCAAGATACCCCTTCTCCCAGACCCATCCTCCAGTCCCCCCCAAACTACCTGGCCATTTCTAGATCCTTCCCACAATCCTTTTGTATATAGGGTCCATCTTGCCTCCATTAAGGTGCTCAGATTCCTTAAGAATCTGGCCAATATGGCGGATCTTTAATAGACCTTGTCTTTGGCTAAAAGAAGGTTTGGGTTGAATTCATTTGGGCAGGACCCACATCTCTTGCTCTTGATATTTTGGGGTCCCAGCACCCCTGAGCCTCAACAGACTTAGCTATGTGTTATGTCTATTGGTGTCTTATTCTTCATCTTAGACTGTAAGATACTGAGGGCACACTCTTCCCCTCATCTTCTAGGCCCTTGCACCAGCCTTTGGAAGTGAGTCTTGAATGGACTGAAGCAGCCAGAGGAACTTGGAAACTCTAACCTGGAGAAGAGCAGACTTAACAGGGGAGCACAAAGGTATTATGCTAGATTTGAAATCAGAGGACCTGAATTTGAATGTGCCCTCACTTACTAGCATGTGACCTAGGGCAAATCAGTTAACTTATATCTACCTTAGTTTTCTCAAACAAGAATAATATCAAATGAGGATAATAATAGCACTTACCTCCCAAAGTTATAAGGATCAAATGAGATAATATTTGTAATGCATTTTGCAAGCCTTAAAGTGCTATAAGTTCTAGTTAATATTATTGTTTGATAATAATAATTATTATTGTCTTTGTGATCTTGGACATGTCAGTTAACCTCTGGGAACCTCGATTTCAACATCTGTAAAATGAAGGCATCATCCTTTCTAGCTCTATTTATGAGCCTATGATTGTAGCATTCAAATGTCTGAAACAGCTGGCTTCAAACTTTTTTTGATTAGGCACTATGATCAGTAAAAACATTTTTTGAGAATGCATTGCTAATATGCATTTTCTTATTTGCAAGTTATAAACATGTACCAATATATACATAAGACATACCTCAAATAGAAGTTTTAAAAGGATAGAAACATTAAATGAACAATATAATTATAATACATAACATATTAACTAAAACAACTATATTTTTAGTGAACAATGTGATTGGCTATTTCCTTATTTTTGAAAATCTTCATTTAACAATTTGTGAGACAGTGATTCAAAAGACTATTTTTATACCCAGTTTATTTCCATGGTTATTGTAGCTGAAAAAGATAAAGAAGCAATGTATCATGGCTACACTTAATAAATCATGATACTCATTTTTCAATCCCACTCATTAATTGTGAAAGGTTTTTGTTTAAGTAAGGCTAGTAAATTTCTATTTCCTGATATTAAGTAGTTCTTGCAAACTAATTAGAAAGTGTTGCATTTATATATATATATATATTTTTTTTGCAATTGGGGTTAAGTGACTAACTAGTAAGTGTCAAGTGTTTGGTCTGAGTCTGGATTTGAACTTAGGTCCTCCTGACTTCAGGGCCAGTGCTCTATCCACTGCACTATCTAGCTGCCCCTGCATTTTTATATTTTTAAGAAATAAGTTCAAAACCCACTGAAACTCTTCTAAGATTTGGAAGATTTTTAAACACATTAGAAAATTATGTTTCCAAGTTTAAGAATGCAAAAATGAGAGTTTTTATAGGTGACAAATAACTGTTTGGTTTCAATGATGAGGATGGGATCTAGACCCCAAAAAGGAAAAACCCTGGATTTTACCACAAGGCAAGATCTCTGGAGTTCGCCTGAGGCTATAATCCCATCAACTGGCCTTTCACTGTGGCTACACCCAATCTCCCAATTCTGTTACCCTTAACCTAGCCTAGCCCTCCATTGTCTTACCTCCCTATGGCCCCGTCCACTTCCCACTGTTAATCCTATCTCAGCTCCATTCTCCCTTGGCCATGTGATCCAGGTCCCTGGAATTCTATTACCTCATAGACTACTTGACCATGCCTAGATCCCTCCCATTTCTGTATATAAGGTACATCTTGTCTCCATTAAGATGCTCAGATTCTTATAATCTAGCCACTGCTCGAACTTTTACAATCTTGCCAATAGCTCACAGGTGCTCAGGTTCTTTAAGAGTCTGGCTAATACGGTGGATCTTTAATAAACCTTGTCTTTGCCTGAAAGAAGGCTTGGGTTGAATTCTTCGGGGCAGGACTCGCGTGTCATTATCTCGGGGTCCCAGCACCCCTAAACCTTAGACCTCATCAGCAGAAGCTTAGATTTTAAATATCTGGATAGCTACGATGACTATTTTAGCACCTACTCTGGCTTACTCCATAGGGGGCAGCAACTACCCCCACATGCAAGGCATGGACTGCACGCAGCAGCAGAGAATTTTGGCTCATGACTTCCCACTTCCCGTTAGCAGTCACTCAGTAGATACAATTAGCTTAAAGCAATGGCATTTACAAAAATTGCTTAGTAAGAATGGTACCTAACTATAAACTATTTCCCCTAAACCTGGGGCACATTCTTCCATAAATATACAGATCACCCATGAGAAGAATGGGCACAAACTTAAAAGAGGCGTTTTAAGGAACACAGATAGTAGACACATTTGGCCCAACTGACTCACTTCTCTGGTGCTATTGGGCATTGATTTAGTCTCTCCTTTGGGGTCCCCAGGAAGCACCTCCTGGGAGACAGCATCTCTGCTGGTTGGGTGACTTAGCTGGGCTCTCCCAGTTATATATCTCTTCTCATCTCATCTGTTCTTATTGCCAGGGCTCGCTGTCTCTTCAGTCGATATAGGTACTTCTCTCTGCTCCTGGAAGTCCACCTCCTTAAAGCTGCTAGAAGTGTCTGTGTCTGTTTGGAGTGCATGAGTCTTTGCTCCCTACTGGATGCTAGACATTCTGTTACACTATTAAGGAATCCCCAGTCCTCGAATTAAGAGGTCCTACACTTGCCCTACCTTGGCCTTTCTAGACATGAGTTCTACTTGTGGCAACTTCTGCCTGGGACAGATGTTGTTTGGTTACTCTCCCCCTAGGGTCCCTGAGTTCCCATAGGTTCAATTATCATTGCTATTTATATGACTCCCAGATTTATATGTCTAATCTGAGTCTCTCGTGAGCTCCAGCCCTGCATCACCTATTAGATATTTCACACTAGATGTCTCCTAGGCATCACAAACTCAACATGCCCAAAAGGGAACCCATTCTCTCTCACCCCAAACCCATCCCTCTTCCAAACTTCCCCATTACTGTTGAAGGCACCCTCATCTTTCAGTTCATCCAGGTTCACAACCTGGGTGCCATCCTTGACTCCTCCCTCATACTTATCTAACATATCCAATCAGTTGCTGTTTTTACTTGAATGAATGAATTTAATTTTTTTTATTAAGCATTTACTATGCACCAGGCACTGTGCTAACCATCTGAGATCTAAAAAACAAACAAGACAATCCCTGTGATGAAAAACAAAGGGAAGTTAACAGTGAAAAGGTGGATGAGGATACAAGGGAAAGAGGGTCTAAGCATAGTGGTTTGGCTTGGAGGTAGCCATGAAGTAAATAAAGATGCCTAATTGAGGGGGGAGAGCTCGCTAATCATGACCCAAGGCCCTGGGCAAGGAGTTCAAGTTCCAGACCAGAGACCAGGCAGCAAGAACTAGGTAATCATGGCCCAGAGTCCTAGGAATAGGAGTCAGAGTTCTAGTGGGAGGAGAATGCCAAAGTACATACAGGGGTGTGGCTTGGAAACAGCCACGAAGTGCCACTCCGTCTTTCTTCTCACACAACCACCACCCAGTTCAGGCCCTCATCACCTCTTGCCTGGATTATTAATTGCCTCCTACTCCGGTGAAATGCCAAAATGATTTTCCTAAAACCCGGGTCCAACTGTGGCATTTTCCCTACCTTCTCCTTTAAACATGGCCCCTTCTTACCCCAGCCTTAAATTCCCTTCCATATACTCTACAGTCCAGCAATCCTGGTATATTCGTCTCCTATCTTCGAGCTTTTGCACTGGCTACCTCCATCCCTGGAATGATCTTCCTGCTCACCTTGGCCTCTTAGATTCAGTTTCCTTCAAAATTTAGTTTAACGGTTTCCTTCTTCAGGTCCTTCCGCTTCTCTGAAGTGTGTTCTCTTTACTTTGAATCTACTTTATATATATCATGTATATACTTATAGATAAATAGATCTCATTAGAATCTATGGTAGGTGGCTCAGTGGATAGGGCCAGGAGTCAGGAAGACCTGCATTCAAATCTAGCCTCAGGCACTTACTAGCTGTGTGACCCTGGACAAGCCACTTAACACTATTTGCTTCAGTTTCCTCATCTGTAAAAGAAAGGAAATGACACAACACTCAATATCTTTGCCAAGAAGAACCCAAATGGGATCATGAAGAGTTGGACAGAAAAACGACTGGAAATCAGAATCTAAGTGCCTTGAGAGCAGGGGCCATTTTGCTTTTTAATCTTTGTATCCTGTATCCCCATTGCCCAACACAGACAAACAAATGAGTAAATGCTGTTTGATTGATTACTTAATTTCCTAACGGGGAAGCTGCACTCCATTTCACTTCTCCCATGAAATGCCTGCAGTCCAGCATCAGGCTGTGGAGTCCATAGAATGTAGCAAATTGGACTAAGGGTACACATCTGGAAGGCAGGGCAGCCTGGGACTGTGATCCTGGGGGTCGATGGGATGCTGATGGCTTTTTCTCAGTCCTCATCCCTCTTGAACTAGCTGTAACTCAGCACTGTTGAACACCCTCTTTCCTTTTAGATACGGTACTCTTTTTTCTCCACGGTGTTACGATGCTGCTCTCTTGGTTTTCCTCCTGTTTGGCTGCTCCTCATGTTTTTTTGCTGGTTTATTATCTGTATTATGGCCTCTAATTATGGGGGTACCCTAAAACCATCCAGGACCATTCTCTAAGTATTCTCCTACTTGGCAACCTCACTAGCTCCCATAGATTCAACTATCATCTCTTTACAAATGACTGTAAAATCTCTATATCCAGCCTCATTCTCTCCTGAGTTCCAACAGAACATCTCTACCCATTTATTGGATGTGTCAAATTGGATGTTCTGTAAACATCTCAAACACAACATGTTCAAAATAGAACTCATTCTTTCCCCCCAAACCCATCCCTCTTCCAAAATTCCTGATTTCTGTCAAGGACAACACCACTTTTCCTATCACCCCAGTTTACAACCTTGGAATTATGCTTGGTTCCTTATCCTCCATCACCCCATATATACAATGAATTGACAAATCTTGTCCTTTCTGACTCCATAATTTCTCTTACACACAACTTCTCCTCTACTACTGATATTGCCACCACCCCCATTCAGGCTAGTGGCAGCTAGCTAGTGCAGTGGTTAGAGTACTGGGCCCATAGTCAGGAAGACATGAGTTCAAATCCAGCCTCAGATATTTACTAGCTGTGTATAAGTCACCTAACCTCTCTGGGTCTCAGTTTCCACATTTTTAAAATGAGGACATCGGAGTAGAAATTCCCTTTGAGCTCAAAATTCTTTGAACCTTGCCAGGCAGTCTGGGGCTGAAATATTTCTCTAAGAACACTAATAGTAATAGCTATCACTTATATAATGCCTACTGTATACTAGGCACTGTGATAAGTGCTTTCAAGTATGATCTCCTTTGATCTCACTTTTAGGACTCTGATGGAATTCTTCATGGAATGAGAACCAAAGCTTGAAAAGGCCATGGAACAATGACCACAGGTGGAGTAGTATAAAGATAGAAAAAGGGAAACAATGTTCCCCTGAGGACTGAGAGGACTATCATCTCCCGATCTTATTGCATGCTTTTAGATGACTAAATGCCCCTCCCATGCTGGCTACAGAATCAGACTTTTAGGTCAGAAGAATCTGGTACTTATGGCTGACTTCAACCAAAAAACCATATATGATCTTTCTTAGAGTCGTTTTTTGTTCTCAGACATACTCTTTGTTTGATGATCAAAGACATTCTCGAACCTTTCCTGCCCCGTTTCCATCTAGTCTTGTCTTACTCACTGGCTATAGTAGATCTGATATTGGCATTTGCGGATATGGTCCAAACACAAGTTTATTTCCCCCCAAAGATACGTTCTTCCTCCTTACTAGACTGTGGCACCACCTTTTGACTTGACTCTAATGTAAAAAGTAAACATTGCTATTATAGTCCCTTCCCTGTGCCTCTTTTATTCCCAAGTCTTGTCAAATTCTGCCTCCCCATATCTCTCAAATTCACTTCTTTGTTCTCTCCTTCCTTCCATGCAAAGCTTTTCCTGATCGCCATAGTGGTTAGGTTCTTCCCTGCTTTAATTATCTTAGGTTTGCTTACCCATGTATACCACCTTCCCCAGTAGGACGAGGACTGCTTCTCTTTTGAATACCCGGTACCTACAATGCTTCTTTGCATGCAGTCTTCCATCAATGTGGAGGTCCCATCACCCTTGTACATATACATTCACTATCATCTGCTTGTATACTTGAATTAGCTTCTTATTAAAAAAATACATTTTAATTGAAATTTTTTCTGTAACCTATTTCCCACCCTCTCTCCCACCTCCCCTACGCCCACAATTATTCCTTATAATTAAAAAAAAAATAAAATTTCAGCAAAACTAATCAACATATTGAAAAAAGTCTGAAGTTATAGTCAATGTTCCACACCCATTCAAAGCTTCTTCTCTTTTCCTCTTTGGGGCCACTATAATTCTGCAGCCCTTTCATTTGTCCTATTTCCATGGAACTTGTAGTCATTGTTCATCTGGAGGAAGCTGGGTGGCTCAGAGCATAGATTGCTAGGCCTGGAGTCAGGAAGAGCTGAGTTCAAATCAGGCCTCAGACACTTACTTTGTGCCCCTGAGTAAGTCACTTAACCTGTTTGCCTTCATCCACTGGAGAAGGAAATGGCAAACCATTTCAGTATCTTTGCCAAGAAAACCCCACGGCCAGTATTAGTGTGCTATTGTCCACAGAGTTGGAAATGACTAAACAACAGCATAATAATATTCATTTATTATTTTCCTGATTCTGCTCCTTTCACTTCCCAATCAGTTCACCTAAGTCTTTCCTAGATTCCGGGAGAGAATCCAAACCTAGCCCTTCATCCTGGCAATTTTCCATCTTCCTGCTATACACCCTTTTCTCCTCTCCAACACTACCATTAGCTCTGAAAAGGTCACATATTTGACTGCCCTATTGTTCCATTCACCCTGATCCATGACTTCCCAGACTGTAACTCTCTGCCCTGGCTACCACTGCCCTATGTGAGTGGTCTTCCTCGTTTGAATGTAAGCCTCTTGAGGGTAGACACTGACCTGATTTTGGATTTATAGCCCTAGTGCTTGGCACACAGTGCTTAATTAAATGCTTAATATTTTTTCATTCATTCATTTCTCATATCATTACAGTATAATAACATTGCAATACATTCATATGTCCATGTAATGTCATAGGTATAATTATTTGTATTCATGTCATCCCCAAAGTGTCAGTTCCATGAAGACAGGCACCATATTTTATCTGTACTCTGTATCCAGTACACTCACTCAGCTGGCTTTCTGCCTCTTAAAGAGGCAGTGGACTGTAGTTGTGGAATTATCATACGTTTTCCAACATGGCCAAAGTATTGGTTTGTTTTGCTTGAGTATACTTATTTGTTACAAAGGAAGGGGGGGGGGGGAGTCATTGGGGAGTGGGATAGTGATATAGAGGGGGAAAAGCATCAATAAAACATTTAAAGAAACCAAACTCTCACCCAACACCTAATAATATTACTAACACACACACACAGTAAGTGTTTTATAAATACTTGAGGAATTGAATACGGCATACAGACTGACCTTGAAGGCAGAATGATTGGCCCAAGCTTTATTATTACATGATTACTCTTGGGTCCCAGGCCCTTTTTGTGACACACCCAGCAATCATCCACAGGTCCCACACACTCTATCTCCACCTGGGAGTCATTCAGCTGAGATCAAGAAACATTACATGCATTACATACAAATCATGACAAATACTGTGAGGGACATGCCCTCACTTTGGTTAGCACCTTGGGCAAATGGCCACTCCCTCAGAGCCTAGCAGCAATAAGGAAGCCCTCATGCTGGCTAGGATCCTTTTGAGTCCTCTCATTTGCCATGACTGCACCTCCAACTAGCAGTCTTGTCCTCATGATCGGGGTGCCTGTTGAGTCAGATCTCCAAAGGTTATCACTGAAATCAAATCCATTTTACTCCCGTATACCTAAGGGCCCCTATACATCTTGAGCTCCTAATTTTTCCATTTCAGTGGGGCTGGTCCCACATAGTCATGAAAACCGATGGCCCTCAGAGAGCTATCATGTTTTGCTGAAGCTAATTCACCCATAATGAGACCATGTCTTGTGTGCATTCAGCTTTGGCCAATACAACCTCTCTACAACAAGCCAAGGGGGCATATGGCTGTCATCCTTGAGCTACGAAGAACAGATCTCTGCTAGCACCAAATATGTTCACTGCCTGGGAGCTCTACTTGAGAGCTGCCCCCTTGGTATTCTCATAGCTAAGGGTACTTTCTGGGGGTGGTGGACAGAAGAAATAGAGAATGCCACAATCCAAGAAGACTGTGCTGTTTGAACCCTACCCCAATCACCCTCCCAGATGTATCACAGTGAGCCAGAGGGCTTCCTCAGTCCCAGCTCCAACATTGTGTAAGAGGACTTTTCAGCCTCTGTCATTCCAAAGTAGCAGCCATGGTGCTACATTAAGGACATCCTATGTCCCCACACACCTCACTAGCTCCCCCTCAGTTGGGAAGCCTCCACACACACTCACTCTTCAGGCCCAGACACATTCATATGACATCCACTCTGTGCTGCCCCCCCCGCCACCCCCCATCCACTCAGCCTGGTGGCCTCTTGAAGCCTTTAAGCAATCCTGACCCTGAGGTCAAGAAGGAGAAGGGGAGGGGGGGGTCATCCCAGGGGGCGGGCTCCTAGCGCTTCCTGCATCTTCTGGCGGCAACGAGAATACTTCTGTAGGATTTGTCGCACATGTTCCTCTTCTTCTCGTTGCAGGATACGAAGGAAATTATGTAATTCAGGCATGCTGAAGGCATCCCACTGAGGGTAAAGACAGAAAAGGGTGAGTCCTTATGATCTAAGCCCAGTTAATACTTTTCCCTAGGCCCTATCGTTTCCAACTCAGGTAGTCAAAGGTAGAACAAACCCTACCCTTTTTTCTATGAGTTCCAGAAAACCAAGTCCATTCCAAGGTAGACTTTGGTATAGGTATAGATAGATTTATAGTTATCTTGATACAAGGATAGGTGCAGACACTCCTTTTAGCCTAGATTTTGCTACATCTTACTCTGACCCACTTTATCGCTCCCACCCCAACCTGCTTGGGCTACAACTAATGGAAATTTCACGAGCATGGACATTGTGATTCCAAACCTGTGGAAATGGTCTGGGTTCTACCACCATAGAATATGGGATGGGGCCTAAGATTCCCCCAAACCTCTGTCAGAGCAGATTCAATACTCACATTGACATCTCCAGTCTCATTTTCTTTTAGGACAAAACTCAAGGCTTTTTCACTGGGTCCTGCAAGCAGTCGTAAGCGCAAGGGTTGTTCGTCATCCGACAGCTTCCGCAGGTACACTGCAGGGCACAATCACACAATCATCCAATTTTTAGAGCCAAGGGCTCCAAAGATCACCAAGGGTCCAACTCAATCAACCTGGCCTAATTCCCCCACCCATTTATTGAACTAGGAATAGCCCATAGTAGCTGAGTCACTTTTGTGAGAAGGCATTTAAGCCTCAGAAGCCTAAATGGAGATACAGCAAAGAAATCAGGGGAGGAGAAAGGGGAGCTGGGTAGGCTCTCTACCTTGATCATGGCGCTCTGCCCGCTCAAACAAGGCAAATTTTCGGGGATTATCCACCACTAGGAATTTTCGGAGTAGCGCCTCAATGACCTCTCGGGCCCGGGTCCGTGACAGCACATGCAGGTGTTTGACTGTGTCTTTGGGAAGATAAAAGGAGGTACGGCGCTTCACTGCTTGGTTTTTCCCAGTGGGTCGCTTGGCATCCTGCAGGGAGGGCGGCTTCTTGGTAGCTGGCACAGACACGGGGCGCACAAGTTTCAATTGCACCTTGATGAAACCAGTATAGGAACCATCCTTGTTCTGGGGAAAGGAAGAGGGATATTTAATGCTTGGACACAACCCAGGGTTGTGAAAGCATATAGTTGATGAAAGCAGAGGACAGGCTAGGTACTCAGCAAATACTTGTTTACTCAGAAACAAAATGGAGGCAGGTAGGTGGTATAGTGGATAGAGGACTCAAGAGGACCTGAGCTCAAATCTGGCCTCAGACACTTACTAGCTGTATGACCCTGGGCAAGTCACTTAACCCCAATTGCCTCCCCCACCCCCATCCCCCCAAAAGGAAAGAAAACACACAAAAAAAAAGAAAAGAAAGGAAAAGAAAAAGAAACAAAATGATATCTTGTGACCTCAGCCTGGAGAAAGAGGCCTCTCTCTGCTCTGTTCTAAATTCCTCCCCACTCCGGGGCTTACCAGGCTCATGAAGAGGTTACTGTTGATCTGGCTGTTATACTCCTTGATCTTCTGCTCAATCTCAGTTTGAGAAAGGATTGGTTTCTCCCACTCCAGTGGCTCATCCTAGGGCAGAATACCTTGTTATAGGCATGACGTTAAGAAACAAGACCTGGGTTCAAATCCTGTCCCCGATGCTTGCTACCTGTATGACCTTAGGTTTCAGGGAGTTAAATGACAGGGTTGGAATAGAAGCTTCTAATGTCCCTTCTAGCTCTAAATCTCTAACTCTAGGACTAAGAAAGGCAATATAGCAAGTCTTGCAAATGAAGACTGAAATGTATATTTTGGGTATTGTGGCTGGTCCTCCAGGGTTTCTTTTCCAGGTTTCTCAATTCCCCTGCTCCGTGCACACCACCCCAGGGTCCAGCACGGTGCTATACACACAACAGGCACTTAGCTAGTATTTGTTAGCTATATTCAGGCTTCCTGGCCCTCCTGAGCTACATGCCAACAATATATTGCAGACCATCCTTACCTTTCACATCTGGGCCTCAATGGAAACAGTCTCTATACTGTGTAGTTTCCCTAAGATATTTCCTGCCCCTCATTGGCTCTCCCTTCTTGTCCAGGCAGAGGGAGGAAATAGAAGGCGTATGGCTGAGAGGCATCATTACACAGCTGTGTAACTAAGATTACACAGTGAGCCAGGCACTAGCAGGAACCACTGGAGTGATAGCTGTAATACCTGGACCAAATTCAAACCAATAACTGAAAGTACTCCAGGGCATGAGGCCAAGGAGTTAGGACAAACTGTGGGCTCTGTAGAGGGTCAATGGAATAAAACCATTTCTTACTTAACTAAATCCTAGTCCCTAAGTCAGTGAACTTTCTTCCCTAAA